ATATATATATATATATATATATATATATATATATATCTTCTTTTTTTTCTAAAATTTAAAAGTTGTTTCAAATATTAGTAATCTTTGCAAAAGAACTGTTTTGATGTTCAAAAATTAAGAAAAATTAGATAGTTGGAGAGAATTTCTTTTTTAAAATATCACAGAAACAAAATGAACAGTAAAAGCGATGGTTTCAACATGTAAACCAAATAGATTTATTGATCTTCTTGTAAATAAATATGCAAACAAACTAACAAAGAGCGTCTAAGGATGGTAATTTTTATTTCTCAATGGGTTGTTTGAACTATATGTCTCTACTTTGATTTTTTTCATCCTCTAAATTTCAAACAAAATGAGATATTATAAAAGGGAGAGACTTTCTAAAGAAGTGTTTTTCTGTTACCCCCTTTTTATTCTATTTTTTAAGTTTTGATCACCTTAACTCAAAAGGATAAAGTTTTAAATAATAAGGAAAATATTCTAAAAATGAGCTTTTATTTTACCTTTTTAATAGTTTTAATCTTCGTAAATTGTGACCATAAACCCTAAGGCTTAAAGAATAAAAATAGGAGATATTTAGAGAACAAAAACATGTTTTAAAAGATTTTAGTTTTACTTGTCTTTTTTGTTAAATGATCATTATTTTATGTGTATTTAGATCTAACATGTTTTTCTATATCAAACAAATTGTCTTTTACATTCTTGTTCTACCTTAGATTTATTAACTCTTTTTAACCTTTTTTGTTTGATCACATTATTACATAAAGCTGTCTTCTTAGTAATTGAAGTAACCAAATCAAAAAAAAAAAAAGTAACCAAATCAAGTGAAACTGTCACGACCCCAAATTCATAAAGGTCGTGATGGAGCCGGACTTTACTGTCAGGCAAGCCAACAATAAATACTTAATTAAATCCTTATTTTAATATTTTTGAAATCGTAAATTTACTTCAATTTATCTAGTAAAAGATGAATTTACAGAATAAATAACCATATTTTCCATTTCCAACAGTGAACATCCCATAATCATCCCAGAACCCGGTGTCACAAGTGCATGAGCCTTTTCTAGAAATTTAAAATAAAATAAAATAACTGTTCGGAATACAACTTGGACAGGAAAGAAAATACAATACTCTGAAGGAGACTCTGCCGGCTGCGGTGCAGCGTATAGAATGTAGCTCACCTAAGTCCCCGCCATAATCGCGCCTCTGCGCCCACAAGGCCACTAAACATATGTGTACCTGCACAAAAATGTGCAGCAAGTGTAGCATGAGTACGTAAATCAACGCGTACCCAGTAAGTATTCCGCCTAACCCCGAAGAAGTAGTGACGACGGGTCGACTTCGACACTTACTAGTAGTCCAATAATATCAGGTACAGTAAAGAAGTGGATGAATATGAGATAAGTAAATATATGAAACAAACAAGTATAAAATACTTAGTAGAAATTTCCTCTTTACAATTTACTCAAACTCTCAACTAGCAAGTTCCCTCCGTAACCGGAGCATATGTATAGATATAGTGTATTTCATCAAACAGGTTGTCATAATCCAAATCAGGGAAAAACCCTCAGATACACTGGCTTCTTGCCAAACGTTACGCATGATTCCATGAGGATTATATATATATATATATATATATATATATACAAAAAATGCCGAGGCGTATGACCCGATCTAACATAAAAGTAAATTGTGCACTGCCGAGGGTCGAACGGCGCGAACCATATATGCATTTATTAACCTGCCGAGGCGAACGGCCCGCTACCATGAGAGTGTGATACATAAATCCTGTCGAGGCGAACGGCCTGATCCCATAAGAGTGGTAGAAGAAAATACCCTGCTCGCGAATCATACGTTCGACACGGTCAAATATAAATTTAAGGAAATCTCCCCGCTCACGGATCATACTTGCGACGCGGTAAAATATAAATGTAACATTAAGATGATATCTCTTTCTTGATTCTTTTCAAAATATGGGAAATTCAGCTTGTAGCCTTTTAAGGAAATTACCCCTCACGCGAAACATACATGCAACGCGGTTACACATAGATTTCTCAAGCAATTATAGCATTACTCAATCCTTTTCCAAATTACGAAGTTCAAATAAAACCTTTTAAATCTTGAGTTCTTAAATTTCAATTTCTTTCAAAATATTTAATAAGCAAACTCAATCTCGCTCCCTCTCGAGGCACACAATAAACATAAATTAATAACAATATCAACAAGGCATGATGTGAGCCTAAAACTACCCGGACATAGGCATAGCTAGTAGCTACACACGGACTCTCGTCACCTCGTGCGTACGTATCCCCACACATAGAAGCACACTATAATTTAGTTTGCCTATGGGGTTAATTTCCTCTTATAAGGTTAGAAAGGAGACTTACCTCGCTCCGAAATTTCATAACCGACGCCAACGCCACTCTAACACCTCAAACCGATTCCCAACGCTCCAAAACTAGCCAAACAATGTGCAAACTAATGAAAATATACTCTAATACTCATAACAATTCAATTTACTACAATTTCTAACTCCGCTCGAAAAATCGGTAAAATCACCCTCGGGCCCACGTGCCCGGATTCCAAAAATATTTGGAGATAAACATTAACCATAGCATTACGAACTCAAATATATAATTTATTCTCAATTCCTTATCCAAATTCGTGGTCAAATTTCAAAAATACCAATTTCTAGGTTTTTCTTCAAAATTCTAAATTTCTACAAATTTTCACGTCTAAATCCTTATATAAACCATGTATTTAACTTGCAATAGGTGGGAATCACTTACCTTGACATAGATGATGAAGATGGAGCTCCAAAGTCGCTCCAAGACCGTCTCCCATGGAGGAAATGAAGTGCAAATGAGCCAAAACCTCGATTTTAAAAGAACACTACCCAGGTCTTTCCCCTTCGCGATCGCGGAAATCCACTAGCGATCGCGAAGGCCAATCAACAACTGCCTAACACTTCTCTTTTCGCGAATGCGATGCCCAGAATACGATCGCACTGCTTAGCCCCTTCCTCTTTCGCGATCGCGAACCCCGCTATGCAATCACATAGAACAACCTCCACCAAACCGGCCAGCCCCATTAACCCAGCGCGTTCACGATGGCCACGACGCGAACGCGAGAAACCTCCAGCTCGACCCTCCGCGAACGTGAACTATTATACGTGATCGCGTAGAGTAAAAATCCCACTAGTCCACTTAACCCTTCGCGATCGCGAAAGAGGAAACCAAAATGCCCAGAAACTAGCATTATCCTCAAAGTCCAATATCCGTCCGAACTCACTACGAGACACACACGAGGCCCTCGGGACCTCAACCAATTATACCAACACGTCCCAAAACACATTATGAACTTAGTTGAGCCTTCAAATCACATCAAGCAACATCGAAATCATGAATCGCACCCCAATTCAAACTTAATGAACTTTGAAACTTCAACTTCTACAATCGATGCCGAAACCTATCAAATCACGTCGTATTGTCCTCAAATTTTGCACACCAGTCATAATTGACATTACAGACCTACTCCAACTTTCGGATTTGCATTCCGACCCCGATATCAAAAGGT